AATGCCACTTTAGTTTTGCCTTTATATTTATTTGACATTATTTCATCATTGTACTTTTTTTGTTTGTGGATACATCTGGCAGTGCTCAAGGCTTACTTCTGACGGTTATGGAGTAAGATAAAAGTTGCATTTCATCCCCTATGCAGTGCTTAAATCAAATCAGGGTCCATTGCCTTCAGATCAAGTGCCTTAAATCTTGTACTTTCTATTTGGGTCTTTAAATTTTCTTTTTTAATATATTTTTTAAATTTTATTTATTAAAAATTATTAGCATTGCAAAACTGTTCATGATTGGGTTTCAGTCATACAATGTCCCTCCACCAGTGTAATTTCCCAGCACGAATGTCCTCAGTTTCCCTCTCACCCTCCAAAACCACACCCTCCCCAGCCTGTCTCTATGGCAGGCACCCCTCTTCTCTCTCTCTCTCTATCTCTCTTTCATTATGATTTTCAATACAAATGCTGAAAGGTTATAATGTATATCCCTTTACCTACCCTCAATACCCAGTTCTTGTCCAAAGTGATCATTTCCAACTAATGTTGTCATAATGGACCCTCCTCTATCTTAACTACCCGCTACCCCCCACACCCTTTTGGTAATTTCAACCATTGACCAGTCTCCTGGCCTGGTTTCCCTGGCCTTGGATATTAGTTTCCTGCTATTTTTTAATATCCCACAAATCAGTGCAGTCATTCCATATCTGTCCCTCTCCTTCTGTCTCATACCACTCAGCATGACACTCTCCAAAATTTCATTTTTATTGTTTTGTTTTGTTTTGTTATTGGACCACATCTGGCATTGCTCAGAGTTTACTCCTGGTTCTACAGTCGGGGATCACACATGGTGCTGTAAGGTGGACTATGTAGGATTGAACCTGGGTTGACCACGAGAAAGGCAGGTACCCTAACTGCTGCACCATCATCCAGCCCCTCTTACTTTATTTTAATTAACAACTCTATTTATTATCCTCTAGCTTATATGTTTTAAATATTGGTGACATTTACGAATCTAATAATGTACACAGTTAACCACACTTCACCTCCACTAAAGGGCCCAAGTTCCTCCTCAAGGTTCTTTTATTTCACGGTATCACCTAAAAATCTCCGTGCCCCTCAAAACAAATCCCTGTTAATTTATATTTTTGGTGTTACAATAAAAGGTCAAGCATTTTGTTACTATCTAATAATGTCTATTGCCATGTTTGTATTCTTTCTGTAAAACAAACAAGAAAAGTAAATCAGTATTTGTGCTTTATCCTCAACTTATATTGCTTAACTTGATACTCTACCATTCCTTCCGATGTGCAGCTACTGCGTGGTTTTTTATCTTTATTTTGTATAGTATTCTTCTGAGTATATATATATGTATATATATACAGATATATGTATCTCACAGATATACTTCAACTTCTATCTATATCTCACAGATATAAAGGCAAAACAGAAATAATTGTGTCGAATACACATAAGGTATTAAAAAGTCCTGGAATATATATGATGTGTGTATCTGTGTCTGTATCTACATATACTTACACAGTGTTGAACGTCTGATCCATTTCCATATCCTGCCTATTGTATTAAGTGCTGCAATGAACAGAGGTGTGAATATTTTCTTTTGAAACTAATGTTTTTGTTATTTGGTTGTAGCTGCCAAGAAGTGGACATACTGGGTCCTGTACAAGCTCTAGTCTATCTCGCTGAGAAATCTCCACAATCTTTTCCATAGAGAGTGTATAAAACAACATTCTTGACAGAGAACAAAGAAAATTCCTTTTTCATTATATCCCACCAACACTGGTTGATTTCTGTCCTTCAGGTATGTCATTTTATGCCTTTCAGTGGTGTGAGATGATATCTGATTGCTGTTTTGATTTACATGTCCCTAAATATCAGTAATGATGGAAACTTTGATAAATGTCTACTGGGGCCCAAATATCTCTTTGTGAAAGTGTCTTTTCATATACTCCTACATATTATGATAAGTTTATTAGTTTTTTCATTGTTGAAATTAATGAATGAGTTTATATATCTTGGATTTTAATGTGATGCATGATATTCAAGGTTTTCTTGTCCCATTCCATAGCATATCTTTTTATTTTTAGACTAAATTTCTTTTGTCATGTAAAACTGAGTTTAATTTACAGGTTGTTTTTTTTCTTTTAATTGTTGTTGTGAAGTCAAGTGACTATAGACACCTTTGAGAGCATGTTCTGCAGAATGTGCCTATGAATTTCTAGTGTTCTTGAAGGATTACTGTATATATTCAAGGTATGCTTTGGCCATGCAATGAATTTTATTTTGAAAGTGTAAGATACAGATGGAGTTTCATTCCATGCCAGTGGCTACCCAATTGTTCCATCACCATGTAGAAATGTACACAGTTCCTTAGAAATAGACAAACAGTTCATGCCAATCAAACCAGTTGCTGAATTTTCAAGATTTAGGAGATCCTGGAGAGACAAACAGAGATGTGTTAATCTCCATGTGACAATAATTCTGGCATTTCAGATGCACCAGGTACCAGGCAAAAAACATAACACCTGTTCCACTTAGATTTTACCATAGGCACACCTATTTACGTTTTACTTGCAATTATTAGCTAGTGTGTGCACCCATAAAATTTTTTTGTATCTGCTGGCTTTCCCTGGGGTCCATCTCTTTCTTACATGATGCCAAGAGCACAGCTTGGATGTTCATTAGAGCAGGCACCTGTCAACTTTCTTCTTCCATCAATTGCAGATTGTATTTCACATAGGATTTTCCTAGTACATAGACACTTGAAAACAGCTGCTGAAATATTTGCAGATTCATTTTGTCTTTCTTCTGCTAGAATAGAGTGCATTTCTAACATTTTTCCAGCACCATTTTCAGACTTGTGTTATTCTTTGACTGTCTTTCCTCTCTTCACACAGTGGCAATAGCACATACACACCTGCCATGCTTCTCACTCAAGCTTCATTATCATTTTGATAGAGACAACATTTGATGCTTCGTACCTAAATTTATAGTGAAATTTCTAGAAGGATATAGCCTCCTTTCAAGTGGATATGACCACTGATATGACTGCAAATCAGTTGGTTTTTTCCTTGAAATGTCACCCATGACACCAATGACAAATGCACAGCATCTACCTCAAGATTCTTTACATGGTACCATACCCCCCCACACACACACACATACACACAAACTCCCACCTTCTGTCAATACATCTCATCTCCAATCATTCCAGAGTGAACAGTGTTCCCTGAGAAGGCATGAGGATTGACACCCATACCTTTGTGCTCCTCGTGGTCTGAAAAACTTTCAATAGTCTCCTCCTACACCAAGTGCATAGTCGGCTCTCTCTGAGTGCACAGTCAGCCCTCATGACAAACAGATTTGTACCTCTCTGACACACTGGCCTGAGGCATTGAACCAAGACTTTAGGAGCTCTTTGCCAATTCCTTATCAGAGTGTCTCACACTATGCCAGGAAAACATCACAGAAGCCTGAGAGCTTATGTATTAGTGAAGGGGATGTATTTCCACAGGTCTCCCAATAAAAGTTACTATATGAGTACCTTTCTATGTAGTTCTTAAATCCCTACACTTGCAGTGCTCTTACCAATCGTTATAATAGGAGAGAAGAATAGGTAACTCTTGTGGTAAATTTGAAAATAGTGGCACATTTGGGAGAGAACATATCCATGAAGAAGTGGTGCAAGTTGTGATCTACAAATAAACATAGACTTTAGCATAGATGAAACTACCCATGTGGTGGCAAAAATTGTTGACAACCTGGTAAAAGTTTGTCACATGTGACTTGTGTGTCACTCATGAATGAAAAGTAGAAGATGGACATCTAGGGAGCAGATTAGTGTGAGCTGTAATGGCAAAGAGATGGCTCCATGGGCAGCAGATAAGTGCTAGGAAACTGGCCTGAAGATGATTTAATGCCATAGAGTGCATTGCAATTATAAGCTTAGTCATTTCCAATGCCTAGTTAACTCTTTACTAAATTCACAGAACTGCACAGTGGCTTTGGATTTTCTCATCCCTTGGACCTCACTTTTACTGATTAGGATTCTGAGACAGAGTGTAGTAATTTATAGCCAGTCTAAGTAAGGATTGGAATGTGAATTCGGTGAACATATCTCCAGCTTGTGTAAATTGGCAGTATATTTTGAGAACATTAGGTGAAAAGGAAGGCTTCCTTTGTCCCCAGCAATCTGTGGCCATGATTTGAAATATAGTCAGAACCAAGGTACACGCTTCTTGCTCTTCAAGCCCTTGAAAATGTACCTCACTTGCTTGTTTGGTGGCTTGCTTATATCTGCTCTCGACCTTGTAAGAATCTCTTTCTCTTCTCCCCTCACATCTTTCTAAATAAGTTTCAAAAAATCTATCTGACTCCACTTGAAGAAAAGAGGGCTAGTCTCAAAGCGATCTTTCTTTTTTTTTTTTCTTTTTGGGTCACACCTAGCGATACACAGAGGTTACTCCTGGCTCATGCACTCAGGAATCACTCCTGGCGGTGCTCAGGGGACCATATGGGATGCTGGGAATCGAACCCGGGTTGGCCGCGTGCAATGCAAATACCCTAAACGCTGTGCTATCGATTCAGCCCCTCAAAGTGATCTTTGAGGCTGGAACCACCACACAATATGTCCCTTCCTCTCCTGAGACAGCCATATTTTTTGTATGAGCACAGGGGCGAGCAGCAGCAGCAGCTACTGCAGCTTCTGTCACAGATAAGGCTCACCCAGTGGTATTCAAGGAGCCACACAGGACAAGACCAGGGATTGAACTCTACATCATATGCACAAGGCGCACACAGTAACGTGTTGTGTACTCTTATTCTCCAAAGCAGATGTTAGAGTTGCTGATCTGATGTTTCTCTTAAAGGGCATACGAAGTTTGGAAGAAAAAAGGTCTGAAACAAGATCTAACGTAGAGCTGTCTCTGAAGAGAGTGACTGCCACATTGCCAACAATCACCTTTAAGTTTATCCCCAGCCTTTCTGACATGTCGGTAACCATGCCAAGCAGAGCAAGAGTTTATGCAGAGGTTAATACACAACGACCCAGAGAATACTGGGATTATGATTCATATGTGGTGGAATGGGGAAAACGTGATGACTACCAGCTCACTCGAAAACTAGGCAGGGGAAACTATAGTGAAGTATTTGAAGCCATCAACATTAACAATAATAAAAAAGTTGCCGTTAAAATACTGAAGCCAGTTATGGAGAATAAAGTCAAGCGTGAAATAAAGATTTTGGAGAATTTGAGAGGTGGTCCCAATATCATATATTTGACAGACATTATAAAAAGCCCTAATTTAGGAGCCCCTGCCTTGGTGTTGGAGCACGTAAATAACAGAGACTACAGACAATTGTACAAGACATTAACTGACTATGATATCCGATTCTATATGTATGAGATTTTGAAGGCCTTGGACTATAGTCATAGCATGGGGATTATGCACAGAGATCTGAAACCCCATAACGTTATGATTGACCATGAAAACAGAAAGTTACGGCTAATTGATTGGGGCTTGGCTGATTTTTACCATCCTGGAAAAGTATATAATGTTCGGGTCGCATCCCGATTCTTTAAGGGTCCCGAGTTGCTCGTAGAGTATGAGATGTATGATTATAGTTTGGATTTGTGGAGCTTGGGGTGCATGTTGGCAAGTATGATCTTTCGCAAGGAGCCATTTTTTCATGGTAACGATAATAATGATCAGTTGGTGAAGATAGCCAACGTTCTGGGCACGAAAGATTTATATGATTATATTGACAAATACAAAATTGTACTAGATACAAATTTTAAAATGATGATAGGCACACACTCCCGAAAGCAATGGGAGTGTTTTGTTCACAGTGAGAACCAGCACCTTGTCAGCCCAGAGGCCTTTGATTTCCTAGACAAGCTGCTAGTATATGACCATCAATCACGGCTCACTGCCAAAGAAGCCATGGAACACCCCTATTTTTGTAATGTAGTGAAGAACCAAGGTCAAATTGGTTCAGCTGGCTGTATACCTGTCATCGAGGTCAATATGAATCCAGGTACTTCTTTAGGGCCAGCTTCTTCAACCCTTAGACCTCAGACAGCTCCACCGGTAACAGCTGCTTCCAAGACCGCTCGGAAGACCACTACATCTTCAACTCGCACTCACAAGTAATTGCTCCTTCTGTCTCCTGATGCTCAGGCAGAGGTAGGGTAATCCATTCTCTTCTTAATGTTGCTTACGTCTGGAGGGGAGGGCTGAGATATTTGAAAAACCACTGCGTCTCATGTTATTTATAGAGTTTTGCTAGTTCAGTCCCAAAATGGATGATTTTCTTCTATCTTCTCCTCCCAGGTGCTTTTTTTATATGCAGTTACAACAAAAAATGTATTTAGAATGGCTTGGATCTGCAATCAACTAAGAGTTTTCATGCTATGTGCTAGGAATCATTGCTCCAGTGTGGTGAATAAAGGAAAGCAATAAACTAAGAACTAGAAGAGTAAGATGGAGATTACTGCAGCCAGAATCCAACAGATAATCTTGCCTCGCCACGCTGGAATATGAAATGGAGAAGAATTGGAGATCGGTCATCAATCATTTCAGAGCATGCACGTTTGAACGGGAGGGGAGGCAATAGTGTAAGTCAGTTGACTCAACAACTTACCTCTCTGACTTAAGGAGAAATGATTGAATCTATATCCTATGTAGAAATGGATGATTTCTGCAGTTTTATATGAAGGAGGGTAGGATGGATGACCAGGCTGGACAGGAGAGCAGCTGCCATTTTCTCCTTTCCTCTCCATGTCCAGATATTTAGCATCTTGAATTGAGTGTGTTTTACTATTTTTAATTGCAGGGATCAGGGGTCAGAGATGAGAAGGCTTGCCTGGTATATATTCAGGATGCAATGGCAAAATGTGTGCAAAGGTAGAATGAATGAACAAGTCTTCTCTGATAGACAAGTCTTAACTGATAAGTTCTAAAACAATGAGATCAACCAGTTATTTGATATGAGGGAGTACACAAATTATACTCCTATGTAATAACAAAGGTCCTGTGGTTGTAGTGATTCTATGTGTTTTACATTTCTAGAGTAGGTGTGAATCGGTAGTTTTTCTTTAGGTTAACATTTCTTTGGGGGGGGGGAATATTGACCCTTGGCTCAATCTGGGAAGAATCAACCATCTAAACAAATTGAGTGTTGAAACGCATGCGCGTTTATCTCCCCTTCTCCCGGAAATTCTAGAGTTTAACTGAGAAGTAGTTTGTAGTTGTCCATGAACATCTGGTTTTGGATTTTTGTCCTAGGTAACCATTTGCTTTCACATTTTATAGGATTTAAATTTTACTTTGAAACTATAATTTTGTAACTAGAAATAGGATTAAAGTCTTTGCTACCACGTGTGCTTGCTAAACTCATTTATTCAACATTTTCTCTTGTCAGTCCTATCCCCTAGAGTATCAGTTTTCTCTCCAAGTGATCCTGTTATCTGCCAGTAACAAGAGTGTGCCCTCTCTGAGCCCATCTCAATGTGCTTTCCTCTCTCTCTTTCCTTCCTTCCTTTGCTGCTTTCCTCCCTCCCTCCTCACATCCTTCTCTGTCTTCACATGCTTCTCTCCTTCCTCCCCGCCTTCTTTCCTCGTTTCCTCGCTTTCTTCTTTGCTCGTTTTTCCTTCACTCTTTATTTTGCTCCTGCCATCGTGTCTACACTTTCCATTCCCTTCCTGTCCTGTCCCCACTTTTCTTTCTACTTTAGGGGTTACTTATTGCAACGGGCATAGCCCCTATTACAATATTGACTGGATCTCGCTCCAGGGGCAGAAGGTACTCTGACTTCTACCTTGAAGTAGCATGTTAGTTTCAGGTTTCTGTAGATGCCCTCATCCGATTGGGTAGGAAAGCTGGCGGCTCCTTTGGCTTCAGCTCTAATAATGAGCCTTTTCAAAAGCACTGTAAGGCACAGAGCTCCTCCTTCCAGTAGCTATTTACCCCAGGGAAGGGAAAACATAGGCTGACACGAAAGACTGTAAATCAACGTGTCTAGCTAAGTCATTCGTAATTTCACAGAACTCTGAACACGCCAGAGGTTCTTCAAGAGAAGGATGAATCACCACTCCGTGGTAGACAACCTTGGACCCATGCTACGGAGGACAGACGTTTAAGTGTACGATTTCCTGATGGTGCAGTTGAGAGTGGGACCTGTAACTTGCTTCTAAGCAGTAGATTACGAAGGGGAGATTAAACCCGAGATTAAGTTGCGTTATGGGCTGGAGCGATAGCACAGTGGGTAGGGAGTTTGCCTTGCACCTGGCCAAACAGGGTTGGATTTCTCAGCCCCTCTGGGAGAGCCCTGCAAGCTACCAAGAGTATCCTGCCCACACTGCAAAGCCTGGCAGGCTACCCGGGACGTATTTGATATGCCGAAAGCAGTGACAAAGAGTCTCACAACGGAAACGTTACTGGTGCCCGCTCCAGCAAATCCATGAACAACTGGAGACAGTGCTATGCACTGGCCCATCTCTCAAGCCCACTGACTCCCTTTCCTGCTGGTCTGAAGGGGGAAGCTGCAACTTCGAGAACACACCAGAGGATGGCCAGCAGGCCTGGGAACAAATGAAGAGATTTACAAATGTTACTTTTTTTTTGGAGATAACACTTTATTTTTAAAAGTTTTTATTAGTGAAACACCATGAGGTACAGTTGTAGACTTACAAATTTTGTGCTTGGGTTTCAGTTGTACAACAATCCAGTACCCATCCCTCCACCAGTGCCCATTCTCCATCATTTACATTTTTTTAAATTTTTGTGAGTGAAGTACCATGAGGTACAGTTGTGGATTTACAAATTTTTGTGCTTGGGTTTCAATTGTACAGTGATCAAACACCCATCTCGAACATTACATTTACTAGGCATGCAGGACTAGTCTTGAACTCGGCTGCTCTAGAGGGTTGTGGAGCGTAGTTGGGATTCTCCTGATGGAGACCACATCTAGAGAGAGCCGCGCCGGGTTCTTGGACCAGGCGGGCAAATGTGTGCGCAGGACCTCACACGAGGGGCTTCTCAGAGTCAGGGGGAGCACAAACTAGGGGTTGATGCCTGTCAGAAGAACTAGGCAGGAGAACAGCGCCCCTGCCCGAACAGAAGCCCAAGACGGCTGCTGTCCAAGCCGCGCAGGATCCCTGCCAGCCTCCCAGCACAGGGCTCCGCCCACGGCCCGCCCCCCGCCCCCCGCCATCGCTCTGCCTTGGTCCTTGGGCAGTCACAGCCCCGCCCACCCCGCCTCCTGCCCCGCCTCCTCGAGCGAGCGGGCACTGAAACCCCGCCCCCGCGCGGGAGGCCGGCCCCCGCCGGCGCGCGCCTCCCGCCGCGTGTCCACGCGCGCACGCGCCCAGGCCGGCGCCAACTCCCGTTCCCCCCACCCGCCGCCCAAAACCCGCGCGCTCGCGACAGCCGGGATGGGGGCGGAGCCCGCGCAGGCGCCGCCGTCCGGCCCCGCCCCGCCCCGGGCCGCCCCGCCCCCGCGTACACGCACTTCCCGCCACGCCTCTCCGTCCACCCGCCGAGCCCCCCGAGCCGAGCCCCGCCGAGCCAGCGCAGCGCGATGGACGGCCGAGTGCAGCTGATTAAAGCCCTCCTGGCCCTGCCCATCCGGCCGCAGACGCGCCGCTGGAGGAACCCGATTCCCTTTCCCGAGTTGTTCGACGGCGACACCGACCGGCTCCCCGAGTTCATCGTGCAGACGGGCGCGTACATGCTGGTGGACGAGACCCTGTTCTCCAGCGATGCGCTGAAGGTGACGTTCCTCATCACCCGCATGACCGGGCGCGCCCTGCAGTGGGTGATCCCCTACATCCGGAAGAAGAGCCCCCTGCTCAATGATTACCGCGGCTTCCTGGCCGAGATGAAGCGGGTCTTTGGCTGGGTGGAGGACGAAGACTTCTAGGCCGGGCGGGCCGGGGGCGGGGGCCGGGGAGGCCGGGCCGCGCCAGTCGCGCTGCCGCCGCGGCCGCCGCCGCCGCCAGCGGCATCCTTGGCCTCTGGCATCCTTGGCCTGGAGCGTCCTCGCGCCGCGCCTCCCCTCCCCGCACCTCGCCGCCCCCCGCGATGTCCCCCGCGCCCCCGTCCCCTCCCGCGTCGTGCTTGCCTTTGTTCCAGAAGAGCGCCCCAGGTTCCCGCTGCCGCCGCCCGGCCCCTCCCGTGCCCATCAGGACAGTCCACTGCAGACGGCGCCTCTGCTGGGCAGCCGCCTCCCGCCAGACCACCAGGCCTGCATCGGAGTGCCCAGGCACCAGCGCCGCCACCACCATCCGGGGCATCCCACCGACACACCGACACACCGTGGCCTTTGGCTGTCCGTCCGGACGCACCCGGGAGGGCGAGAGCTGGGGGGCACAGCCCCTGGACGATGACCCCCACAGCTCGCCCCCTGCCCGCACCACGCTGCGGCTGGCCTTTCTCCCTCAGCGGGAACCGTGCTCTCCCCACGCCTAGAGACACCTACCTGCTCCTGCCAGGGGCCTGCCATGGCCCGGGGCCGCCTGGTGGCCCAGCCCAGTCACCCGTTCTCTCCTGTGGACCTCTTAGTTTCGCCCAGAGTCCAGTGCTCTTCTGAATTTGCAGTATTTTCTTAGTTATGTGCTTGTTCGTCGATTATTTATAGGAGTTTTTTAAAAAGACTTTTCTCATTCTACCCAACTCCCATCCACTCCCTGGACAAAAATCTTTTTCCTATTTTCAATAAATTCCAGACGCTATGTAAAAGAAATTGAGTGTCAGTAAATGTAGTATTCTGCTTTGCTATCCAGGTGATAGTGGGCCATGGGAGTTCTTTAGGAGATGCGCTCCTTGCTGTCCTAGGGGTACTACTGGTGGACTTTTTCTCTGTCCCAGAGAACATCAAGTCAGGATCCTCGGTGGTTTTGGGGCTGGGGTCTCCACTGGGTACTGTCAATCCCAGACAGACAGTGATTCCTGGAAACAAGTTAGGAGTGGAACAAGCCTCTTGGCAGTGGGTCTCATTGCCTGATATTATGTGGGAAAAAAGGCTTTGCTGACAGGATTCCTCATTTCTCAACAGGGCTATAGGTCACCCATATTGTCACAGAGCATAATACCACACAGATGGAGAGCAATTCAGTTTCATCCGTCCTCTTGGGAACCAGCAGCATGCTAT